GGGTGGATAGAAAAAAATACAAACAAAATGTCTAAAAGCTGCGTCCTAAGTGTATGTTGCCGGTCGCTACATTTACCAGTCTACCGCTAACTGCAACCCGGCCAACAATCGATCTACCTTAGACTGGGTGCCGCTAAATGGCAAATTCAGTTTATTCTTGAATTGCAGCTTGGTCTTGGGTCAGTTTCGCCAAACAGTTCAGAGGCATCCCGATGCTGGAGCTATGACGTAGTTGAATGGAGGGATAAAATCCGGTTATTTTTTTCTCTTGCTTTGTTGACTGTTGCAACGACTGAATAGGAATAGTGGTTTCTGGTCATATAGTACAAAACTGAATTAACGAAAAAATAAGTTGGTTCTGGGAAATTTAATTACAGAGCACTATTGTCGTTCATTTTCACTTCCGTCATTTTTTTTTTCTTATCGCTGTTTTACAACTTTTTGTTGAAGATCATCTGATGTTCCCAGTGCTTCTTGACATTTTTTGTGGCCACAACATTATATGCTATTTTTTGTCGTTATTTTGAGTCGGTACTTTTTAACTGTCATCAAAATTTGTGTACAAAATAAATGGTTTAATTGAGGATGGTATGTTATAAAAAATTTGCGTCTGTTTGTCTATTGCAATGCAGTTTTTTTTCTTTTGGCCAATAATTTGCCGTAGAACAGCTTTAATCAGTTATTGATCAAATTGTATTCCACATTAATGACGGTAGTTGCGGGTTTTAGGAGTTAAAAATAGTTTTACTTATTGTGCTTCCGTGTGTGTTCGTGTGTGTTCCAAGGAACATGACGATATGCGTAAGACTGAGTGCATACGGGTACGATGACAACAGGATACTACGTTTCATCACCGACTGCCGTCAGTGAAGCGGTGGTGATAATGACGGTGAAGTCGATGATAATCAATCACTTTGCAACTGTGTTAATTCGCAAGTCTTCCAATATGATGATTACTCTGGCAAAAAAAAAAGACCAATTACTTATTCATCTGAATTATTTAACCAGCTGAACACGACAGCAGTACCTAGTTAACCAAGCAGTCAGTACCTGATTCTAGTCACTTCTTTGGCTATCAGAAGCAATTATTAGTTGCTCAGATTGGAGTTTACAAATAACTATCAAAAACTTGGAACCGAGAAATTAGAAATTAGTCACCTTAATTGATACAACTATGCCTTCTCGTCGTCAAATATTTTTATTATCACTATTACTATCATTATTATTATTATTGTGATTGTGATTGTTATTATTAATGTTATTATTATTGTTATTAGCCATTTCAAATTATTAGCATATTTATCAAGTTAAAAGTTATAATATAGAAGAATTAGAGGCAAGAGAAGCGAGTCATTTTTAGCTAAATAGTTTCATCAATTTATGCGTTCTGTTAAACCACTGCGCACAAATGCTATTGCTGTTACTTGTTGAGCTTACTGGTGGACTGTCGTTGGTACAAAGTAATCAACACTAAATTCGTGTCTTGAACTTATATAAAGAAGGAAAAAGGCAAATGATTATTAGAATTAATCGGGTTGGTGTGGACTGATTAATTTATCCATTTTTTTGACCTTCTATCTTTTATTTTTATTTAAGTTTTTTTGCCGTAGAAGGGAGGCTTACGAGGTGCAGAACAACAAACAAATTTAGCAGTGCAAGGATGGCCAATTTTTTATTTTATTCATTTATTCGGCTATCTTTTTTCCTGCTGCATCTTCAAAAACATTGAGGAAGTAATTACCATTGCAAAACAACCACAATGATTCGTACGATTAGAGTGTGACCGATTTTTGGTGGCTGCTGTAAAAAGGAAGAGACTCTGTAATCCACAAACGACTTTGTTATGCCTTCTTGTTTTGAAATATCATTGAAATCCCATCACCTGTTAGCAAATTTGTTTTTTTTTTCTTCTCGTTCCTCTTTCAACCAACAACAGTTAACGCAAAGAATTTAGCTACAAGACAAATATTGCTCAAATTGAAATATATGGAATAAATTAATCGACAAATATTTGCCTAGTATTCTTTAAACTGTTCAGCACTCTTGTCCCAACGCATCGCTGCAGTGGTTGGATGTCTGACCTACCAATCCAAAATAACCATGTACAATTTTCTTGTTTAATCGATTAAATGGTAAGATCAAGAGAAAAAAACAGGCAGATAAAGTGGAAAATAAAGATAGAAATAAAGGGAAGCAATAAAACTTATTTCAAACAGTTCATCTTAAGATTTCTTGATAAAAATCTTAATGCTATATAAATGATCATTTAGCCACTTAGTGGTATAAAAATCAAAAAGAAGAAAAAATATCTAAACAGTTCAATGACACCCAACCAGTTAGGAATGCAGAATTCAAATGAAACTTGATGCAACCAAAACTGTCATATTTGATTAACACCACCAACACACAGTACAACAATAATGTACTGTAGCTGTTGCCTCAAGGTCAGCTAAGCAAATCACCCTACAAAAATCTCACCCCATGTATTCTTCTAGGCCACTTGATAAACGCACCTCCCCTACAATACAGCTATTTCTTTTGTCTAACTTTCAGTCTTACCAGTACAACTCAAAAATTAATTGGCTCTAATATCTGTGACCACAGCTGTATCAACGCCCTTTTAGAGCGCAAAGCTTGCGACGAAGCATAAAACTGAGATTACAGAAAATGAAATAATTTCTGTTTGGTTCACTTGCAACTGCACCCCGAATAACCCGTTTTCTTTACACCGCTGAACTGTCACCTCAGTTTTCTTTGAAAACAACAAGATCCCCATTCTCAATAACAAACCAATAATAAGTTCCCATAATTTCTTTAAAACTGAATGGAGATGATTCCGATATACAAGCTTACAAACTTAATAACCACAAGTATTCCCAACAACTCAGGTAGTTCCACGGATATAACCTATTCCCAACGAGATTAACATTTACTAGAGGCCTAATGTTGCCGAGAATCGATCACTGAAACACCGATAATTACACACTACCACCATCAAATACTTTAAAGTAGCCTTTTCGCTCAACAGTAAAAACCATTCCTAACAAAATTGTCCAATCAATGTTCAAATACCAGACCTAGCATCTCCCTCCTTTTGAATTTCTAATATCGAAAAGACAAAAGCTCAACAAGCCGAAACTCATCAAGCGATTTGACTTATAAAAGAATGATTAAGAAATTAAGTCTCTTTTCCACGTAAAGTAATAAATCGTCAAAGCGACCATTCACAAATTTGACCACAGCGCTTAGAACGAGTAAGCATCTCAAAAACCAACCAGACACCCTCTATCCAAACTACAAGGATCAATGTCTAAAATGCTGCGGTCATTTAAAGGTCGAAAGCCCTACTCGGCACTTCATCACCGTAAAAGAACACTCCATTGAAAACTATAGAGGAATAAAATTATCAATGTGTCCTTCTGTAACAAACCCATCCTCTGTCAATACTTCACTGCAAACGATTCGAAGCAAACCTTAGCAACACCATAAAAGAAATCCTCTAAAATTCTTGCACAACATCATCCATTTTCCCAATAACTTTCAAAACTCTACCCGCAAGAACCTGTAAAACCATCACCAATTTAAAATTACTGCATGACTGCTGTTAAAATCGCCAGCAAACAAATTATGCGTCTCAACAGAAATCTTCGCTTTTCAAAGAAACACGTTCGCAAATTTTTCCCGCTTTGGTATAATGAGCTTTTGCCAACCTTTATGATGTACACAAAAATTTTGGGAATTACTGTGTACATAAATGCAACCTGAACATTTCTAAAACAACAGAAGCAATATTAAAAAAAGAAGCAAAAAAAAAAAAAAAAAAAAAAAAAAAA